CCCACAACACGAGACACAGCTGCCTCGACGCGTGAAACACACAACACCCACGCGGGAAGACCTCACCGCGAAAGCGGCACAGGGGCCCGACCCCTCAGCAGCATACCAACCGCACAACTCCACGCATGCTTGCCGCAACGAAGGACAATTTCTACAACAGCAGCAGTATAGGTACGCAGGACAACTGCAGTAGCCGCCCCCCCACCGGTACACGCGTACGCATTGGTAGCACCGTACAGCTGGACCGCACTGCGCGGACGGCGACCGAATCCCAGCTCCTCGGCAGAAGTCGGAGTTGACGGGTTGATGCGAGGTGCGTGGCCCGCGGACCGCGGGCCGCGAGAGAGAAAAAACAACCCACAGGTGCCTCCACAAAAGCGGGTAGATCAAGGCACAGATGCCGGAGCACGAGCCAGCTGATATCTCGCGCCGCAGCGGGCGGCACTCGTCCAAACCACGACGAGGCGTCTTGGAATCGATGCAGCTACACAGAGATACCCGCAGCGTCGGGAACCTCGTAGTGTGCGCCGAGATCGCTTTTTGAGACCCGGTCGATCAAGGGGCTGCGCGTGTTATGAAAAACGTCCCTCACTCACGGACAAAAAATAATTTAGGGCTGGAGAGCCCAAGCTCCCGGGGAGCTTGGGAATTGATGCTCCTCGCGAGGGGTTGGCACGAGCGCCCCAGGTGCATGCACGTGATGGGTGGATAACGTGACAAACAAAGCAGTTTGCCACCCGGGACTACCGGAGGTTCAGTATATGGTGGTGCATGTATGTCTCACTTAAGGAAATCACATGCATTATTCATTGCGCTGTTGCACCAAAGGGGGGAAGGAAACCAAGGCACCTACCTACCTGCACGTGTGTTTGTCTTACCAACGACCACAGGAAAATCGCCGCTTCAATCATCGCCATGGTCAGATTGCGACAGCGAGCGACATGCTGCAAGTCGGGGTGGTATTCTACCACACATACCTTGGAAAGTCGCGCAAATGCAACATTTCCATGGGGGCAGGACAACCTCCGTAACTCTCCCATTGGCTATTGTTGTTACTATTGAAAATTGAAGTCCCGATAACATTAGAACCTGCCAACTGGGGGGGGGGGGGCTTTGAGGCACATGTACGTACGTACGTAGCAACAGGCAAGCAGCGGCAGTGCTAAGGCAGCTGCGTCCACGCTTGAAAACCATTTGTCATGCAGAAATTCCGCACTTTTCGGGAAAAGCCACCAGGTGCCAACGACAAACCATGCGGTGTTTCCTGCCTGTGCAATTCAACCCTTCTAACGGTGGAAAGGATTTAAGTCTCTCCTGTCCCACCACAGCCCATCAGTCCAAAACCAACCACGAGCCATCATTCTACGGGCGAGACTATCAACCGTAGTGCCAAAAACAAGTAGGTTCTACAACCGGCACCTGCCACCCCATGACTCGAAAAAAAAAAGCTTTTCGGTCAACCAACGAACGACAACAACACACGCGAAACATCAACCAACGAACGAAACAGAGGCTGAACATCAAAGACAACAGCTAAAATTACCCAGGGCATCAGCTTCCTCTCCCACTGCCATGAGTTACCGGCGAAAGAACTTCGCGTGCTATCTTACCGGTGCCGCGCACGCGTCGCACGCGACACAACCGGGAGTCCCCCTTCTGAAAAACCCGTGAGTACGAGGCAAGGGGCACGAAAAATGACTGAAGAAAAAAGACAAACGAAATTCGACTACGAAGTACTTATTTTTATCGATGTCAAGATACACCATACATGAACCTCCCCCACCCCCACCGGGCGCTTCACTTTACTCCCATCCCAACACGCGAAATCTTACACTGTCATCTATCTGGTTTGTCAAGACAAGAGCGACATGACCGCTGACTGCCCGCCCCGTGAAAGAAGGAAAAGCGAACCCGGGAGGTGGCGCGCTCCCACAGCACCAAGTTACCATGCCCCCCCCCCGCCCATGAATACTCGACCGATCAAGCTACATATAGCCGCTACATGGACATCGACCTTCGTTGTTGAAATCATGTCTTGTATTCACGAAAAAAAGCGCCCGCAGGAGTGTGCGCCCCCTATACGCAAGTCAGCAGACAACCAAGATTTGACCTGCAAGAGGGGTGCAGGGCGGGGTGGGGCGGGGCGGGAAGTACGTCCTACACAACACCAAAACCACGAACAACCGGTTCTACGCAAATCAAGGAAATAAAAACACCTTTGCGTCGATGGTCACTTTCATCCAAAGTCACCTCTCCGGCCGACAACCCCCCGGGAAAAAGATAAGAGTACAAGAGGAGACACCCAACAAACGTGGCTGGCTACCAAAAGACCCGGGCGGAAACTTCATTTAACTCCTGTGGTCATCGGAGGGGGGTGGGAGTAAAACACAAACACAAAAGGAACAAAGTCGTGCGCACCAAAACCATGTCGCAATTCGAAACGGAGCTCGAAACGCGTAACCATGCATGCCTGCCCTTCTACAACAACACGACACGTCTGCCTCTCTTTGTGCGTACCCACTTGGTGTCTCTTCGTCCATACTCGGGACACAAAAACAAAACCCTGACCCCCCCAAACAGAACGAACACATTTTCACGGAAAACACGTACCAAAAAGGGCTGCCGTTTGCAGCTTTTCTCTTTCCTCTCGTCGCCCTCATTGAGCGATTTCCCAAGGTGTCCGGCTTCCACTATCCCCCTCTCCCTTCGACCCTACCTGCTACACCGCAACACAATCTAGACACGAACCGAAGCCGCTCCAGGCGCCAGCAAGGACACGAGACAGACAGCAAACAAACAACGAACCACCGCCGGGAACTTAACAAACAATACACGTCACTGACGAGCTACGGTAGCTTCCACCGACTACCCTGAACAGGCCGGCCGCGGATGGGCCTCCTCTCATGGTGCGTCGTGCTTTATATCCATCCCCACACGACTTTCGCTTTTGAAATACTCAGGAACGGCGAACAAATACCACAAATGGCGGACAAGACTTGAAACGCGACGAGTGCACGGACGGCGAAGCGTCGCCAACGTACTCGTGTTTTTCCTTTTTATTCTTTTTGTTCTCAGCACGTGCCTGCTGTCGATACGCTAATGGACGACTCATTGATTGTAACGCAAGCACGCACGCTCGGAAACCGAACTCTGCTACCATTACCCCCCCCCCCCCCCCCCCCCCCCCCCCCCCCCCCCCCCCCCCCCCCCCCCCCCCCCCCCCCCCC